CTGAGTTTATTGCTTTGGACAAAGCTAGAGAAGAAGTAGCATGGCTTCGAATTTTTTTAGAAGATATTCCATATTGGCCTAAGCCAGTACCTGCGAAAAGTATACATCGTGATAGTCAATCGACAATTAGAAGGGCTCGAAGCAGCATGTATAATAATAAGTCTAGATATATTCATCGTAAACACAACACCATTAAGCAACTGATCTCAAATGATATTATCTCCATAGATTATATAAAATCAAAGGAGAATATTACAGATCCACTCAAGAAAAGTTTGCCTAGAGATCAAGTACGTTGCCTATCGAGAGGAATATAATTAAAGCCTACTACATAAGAGTTTTTGCAATGGTAACCCTACCTTGTTAACTGAAGATCCCAAGATTTCGGTTCAAAGGGACAACTAAATTGTGAAAATTCCATGAAGCACTTAGAAAATTAGAATTCCTAACTCATTCTTATGATACTAAAGTACTTTCTGCAGAGTTGATAGAGGTTCAAATTATCTTTTAATGATTACTATATCTTGATTAAGTCGAGTGGAGTAGGGCAAAATACTCTTAATAGGAGGTCACCTATGTAAGTGTGAAGTGGGGCCGCTTCGATGAGAATTGTTTAAGGTTTGAATTCTCTAAACATTTATGAAACCAAGAAGGGGTCGGGGTCAAAATGAATCAAGTCATGAGAACTAAGTATAGAATAGGGAAAATATTTGTGTGAGTACTGTTGTCTTGGCTTACACAAAAGGTTGAGTGGTTCAAAACCTATGGTTTACCAATTAGCTGAGTAAGTTCGATAGTATTTCACTAAGGAAGTTTCATGGTCAGAAGCCACCATCCCTGATGCAGTACTTTTCTGCTCACTCTCTACATTGCATCATATCATTGCATTTGCATATGCGTAATCTAATTTCCATTCATGTGTAGAATTATTGGAATTGGTTTAAAAATAACCGAAAATTGGTTAAGTGTAAAAGTGAAAAATAAAAAGGTGTGATTTCGTGTTAATTTCAACCAAATATTCGGAATAATTGATCCGATGGTCAAATTACAAAAGTAAATAGACCAACTTATTCTGCTCGTCGAGTAGATCGTCGTGGTATATTTGGAATATTGAAATCAACTTCGGATGAATGAGAAATTACAATCCAAAGTTGGAAGAAATAAAGTGTTGTAACTTTTCGAAATAATACATGTTTTGGCCCACACTAATTCATTTGCACCCTTTCTGTATCTATAAATAGAACTCCATGGACATGGTTTTAAGTACACCAATTGCACTGAGCACTCATTCTCCTCTTATAATTCTCTCATTTCTACTTTTATAGCATTTTTATGTATTTCCTTTGTAGAGGGAAAATTTTGTCAAAAGTTCGTCTGTTTCTTGTAGTTTGACGTACTGCTACCCAAGTTGTAAATCCATTGTATCTTAGGAGACAAATGGCATTGATCGTGAGTACAGTAGCGAGACAATTTGTCTTAAGGAAAAAGATAATATCTCGCATTGGATTATTTTCTATTTTCTACTTCTTAATTCTTGTTTTGTGTAATCGTTTATCACATTTATATATATCGAAACTCTGTCCAAATTTTCGTTCATATAAATTGTGTTTTGATTACGCTCTTGCAGGTTAAAACTAGTTGAACGAATATATCAAGAATCAACCCTTACATAGCCCGTTTCTATAAGTCGTCTCCAACAGCTCTTTTCTGTTTTATTGTTCTTTTCTATTCTTTCTTCATTTATTTTTTTTTTTACTTTGTTCTTATCCTTCAATAGCTCCACACTTCAACTCGCCAACTCCCATAATCTTGATCATCTTTTCACTCTCGTTTTAGTGCTCCTTCATCTGAAAATTTCAGATTTACCTAATGAAACAAAAACACAACAGAGTCTATAACAAATCAACTAAACAACGAATATACGTACAAGGAAAATGTCTATTGTAAGATTAAAGTTTACACTTATTAGAGGTCTATTATTGGGTTTGAAATACATTTACTAGAAAAAAAAAAGTGAAAGAAAGCGAAGGCCATTCTTAATAAATTTTAAATCAATATTTGGTTAAATGAAAGGGAGAATTTCATAAATAAGAAACAAAGTATAAAACATTTCAAAACTAAAAAATAATGTTTAAAACTTCAAAAATCATATATTTTTTAAAATTATTTATAAACTAATTAATTAAACATATATTTTATTAATTAAATTAAGTTCACATTCTATACAATTTGATTACAAATAATTGAATAAACTGGTTACAAATTATTTTTCGATCACAATAAAAAAATTTATAGGTCACAAATTCAATGTCACGAATCAAAAATTCTATAAGTCACGAATAAGTCATCAATCACAAATTTATCAAATTGATAGATCATATATTATTTGTTAGTCACAAATTACAAATTTTACAAGTCACAACTTATTTCATGGTCACAAAATATCTGATTAATCAGTTATAAATTATTTTTCGATCACAATTTAATAAATTATTGGTCACAAATTAACAATTTTTTAGATTACGTGTTATTTATTAGTTACAAACTATCTTTTTTTAGTTACATACTATCTATTGGTCACACATTAACCAATTTATTTGTCACAATCAACCAAATAATTTGTCATCATCGTCGTCATCATCAATACCCCAACCACTACCACCGTTTTGCCAGCCACCATTACATCATCATCAGAACCGTCACTTCACCAACAACCAGAGCCACCACCAACAAATCAGATCCAAGACTGCCAACACCCCCCACAATCGCCATCACCTCACCGCCTTTGTCACCGTCTCTACCATTGCTATCGCCACCACCACTGCCACAAACCACCATTTCCCACCAATGCTCCTTCATGAAACTGTCAATAAGAAACCATCACATTACCAACACCTCACCCCCACTATCACAATCACTATCAAACCACCATTCTCAACTACAAAACAACCACCAGTGTCAATGCCAATGCCAACACTGCCACCTCCACTGTCGTTGCCAACGCCGCCACCATCTCACCATCAACATCACGGCCAGCAGTACCACCACCTCCTGCACCAAAAATCACAACCATTATCTCCCTCACATCACAGCCACCATACCCATAAAAAATCCCCAAACTCGATGCTACCATTGCCACTACTACATCATTACCACCGCCTTATGAACAATTACCACCATAGCCTCAAATCCACAATAGTCTAACAGTCGTGGCAGCACTGCTATGCATAGTGATACTGCCTGCTGCAAGGCACCGCAACACTGTATCGCTCGACGGTAGCACGATGCCACCACAAGAAGAGCGGATCGGCTTCAAAATAGAGATGATGGGAGGGTAGAGAGGTGAGGCATCGGAATTGAAAGCTTGGGCAAGTAGAGAGAGAGGGTTGACGTCGAGTGTGCAGAGAGAAGTATTAAGAGAGAAGATAAGGAAATGAATTAGGGTTTGGGTGAAAAATTGGCATGGGACAGGATTATGTAGATAAATATAAATTTAGAATATTATTATTAATATTTAAAAGATAATTATTTTCTGATTTTTAAATAAAAATTCTTTCAATCTTATTTCTAATTGGGAACTTAAAAACTCAATATGGATGTAATTTTAGTGATGTTAAAAAAATTCGTCCTACCCCGAATGGGACAAAAAAATCCGTTCTAAACAGGTTGGTGGGGCGGGCAAGGCAAGGGGGGGCGCGAGCACTGTGAAGAAAAAAATTAAAAATTATTTTATTTCCAGACAATTCATCCGTTAAAAATTCATTTTGAATTTGTATTTTATTCTCTAATAATAACATAATTCTAAATTTTGAAAATATAAAATAATAATAATAATAAACGGGGCAAAAAGTTATCTCGTCCTTATCACGCCCCATTCACCCCACCCCAATGTGCCCCGTCCAAAACCCGTCCGGATACCATCACTGTGTAGTTTGAGTAAATTTAACCAATAATCATTGAACTTTACACTTGATTACTACTTGCTCACTCATCTTTCACATATTACTGAATGCTCACTCATCTTTTCATATAATTACTCATTCACCACTCGTCTTTTCAAATAATTGAGCTATTTTTACAGCAAATTTTCGACAACTTCCAACCACAAAGAATGTCGAATTTTGATACCGTTGGAAAGCCCACGATATCCTCTTCAATTACCACCCAAAATCTCATTATAACTCCAAGGGATTCGATCGAAAAATTGCCTTAAAAGTAGCCCAAAAATTCTGAAAATCTGCCCAGATTTTCAGATTTTTGGGGCAACTTTTAAGGCAATTTTTCGGCAACTTTCGACCATCAAAACTATCTAATTTTGATACCATTGAAAAGCCCACAATGTCCTCTTCAATTACCACCCAAAATTTCCCTATAACTCTAAAGGATTTGGTCGGAATAAACTCATAAATTTAGCATCCCAAACTTTGTCCAAATTTTCGCCTTTTCAAGATGCTGATTTTGTGAATTTATTCCGACCGAATCCTTTGGAGTTATGGGAAAATTTTGGATGGTAATTGAAGAGGACATTGTGGGCTTTCCAATTGTATCAAAATTCAATAGTTTTGATGGTCGAAAGTTACCGAAAAATTGCCTTAAAAGTCGCCCAAAAAATCTAAAAATCTGGGCAGATTTTCAAAATTTTTGGGCAACTTTTAAGGCAATTTTTCGATCGACTCCCTTGGAGATATAATGAGATTTTGGGTGATAATTGAAGAGGATATTGTGGGCTTTCCAACGGTATCAAAATTCAACATTCTTTGTGGTCGGAAGTTGTCGAAAATTTGCCGTAAAAGTCGTCCAATTATTTGAAGAGACGAGTGGTGAATGAGTAATTATATGAAAAGATGAGTGAGCATTCAGTAATATGTGAAAGATGAGTGAGTAAGTAGTAATCAAGTATAAAGTTCAGTGATTATTGGTTAAATTTACTCGTGTAGTTTCCACTAAATGAAATAAATTGCCCCAAGAATTTCACTTTTTACATCACATAGCCACTACATTTCCTATACGATGGGCACTCTTTTCCGGCGTAGATCTGATTTTTTCTCTGTGTCTGTTCAAGAATTTGATCCCTTCGAATTCTACTTTAAATAAAGGGTGACAAACTTTCAAAGAAAATCCTAGAAATGTCATTATTGCGGCATCAAAGGCCACTCCAGAATGTTTCATCAAGCCCCAACCCATCTCGATTCCCGCAAAATTACCAACCCACCACCAATTTCTGCACCAGCACCAACGTAATCATTCTCCTTACTCTCTTGATAATCTTCGGCGTCCTTCTTCCCTGGATTCAAGTCCCTGAAGGCCTTTTGATGTTCAATTCGAACCCCAATTCAAAGTGGCGGGACTACACGTTGTCGGACGCAGCTGCCGTGGTGGCGAAGAATAATACTCTGATTGTGTGTGCAGTGAGTGAAGCTTACTTGCCTTTTCTTAATAACTGGTTGATTAGCATTGCGAGGCAGAAGCAGCATGAGAAGGTTTTGGTGATTGCGGAGGACTATGTTACGCTTTCCAAGGTTAATGAGCGGTGGCCGGGGCACGCGGTTCTTGTGCCGCCGATATTGGAGGCAGCGGCAGCCCATAGGTTTGGGTCTCAGGTATTTGGCGCCTGGGATCTTGTTAATTCATTTATTTATTAATATTTTGTTACAATGTTTATTTAGTCAATCTTGTTTGGTGTAATCCTAGATTTATAGATGATTGTTGTTTTTGTGACTAGCGGAGTTTTACGTTTTTAACGTTTCCTACATGCTAATGACTTGTTTGAGAACACATATCTTAGATTCCAACTACTTGTTTGAGATTTATACTGCAGAATTGCTCGTTTGAGCTTCTCGGATTTTATACTATATTAGTCCCAGGTTACATAGCCCAAGACATTATGTGCTTATTATTATATTCGTATTTAAGTGACGTGGGATATCCTTAACAATGATAGCATGAAGTGTAAGAATGTTTTAACCTCTCTGCTGAAGATTTGATTATTCGTTGTTTAAGTTGATTTGGACATATGGATTTGGTTTTTTTTGCTTATTTTAGTTAATTTGGACATGTCTTTGATGAGCTCCTGAATTTAATTCAAGCCTGTCTCATATATTTCATGTAATCTGGTTTCGCATGAGCTTTGCTCCTGTTGATTGCTAGTGGAATATTTGATTTCTTAGTAGCTTGGTCAGCTACTATGTATTTCTTCTTGTTTATGTTTGTTCTTGAGTGGTCTTGAGGCTTCTTCAATCATCTATTTGTTCATTCATCTAGCTGATCTCAAATTAAGCTTTGAATTTTTCTTAAGCATTACTTAATATAATTTTAAAGAGAAAAGAATAAGCAAAAGAGAAAGTAGGACAACATCTAAACATGAATGTGTTGATCAAGTAGTTGATTTCTAAGCCATCGATGGACTCCATCATTTACGGAGCCTTGTGGGTTGTTTTCCGCAGTTTGAATTTTAATTGTTAGATCTTGAATTGCACAGCAATCGCATAGAAATAAATTATGTGATTTCAAGGTCTGAGTTTCTTGCCACGGAGTTTGGCCTTCCTGATTTTTATAGAAGAAGAGCGAAAGCTTTATAAAATGATCTATTTGAAACGATTTCACTAGGAATTCTGCTCTTACATTGTGATCTATGTATATTAACAATATATTTTTTCTCCTCTTTTTATTTCTGTTTTTCTAATAACCAACACTTTTATTTGAAAACTGTATGTCCCTTGTAGATAATCTTGGCTACTCTCATGTTGCAGGGCTTCTTCAATTTTACAGCCAGAAGGCCACGCCACCTTCTGAATATTTTGGAGCTGGGCTATAATGTTATGTACAATGATGTTGATATGGTTTGGCTGGCAGATCCATTTCCTTATTTGCAAGGCGAGCATGATGTGTACTTCATGGACGATATGGCTTTTGTAAGTATACAAAAGTTGAATATATATTTTAGTTCATGAATATCAACAAGCTATTTTTGCATACCGGAATGAATTCCAGAACTGGATTTGGCCATCTCCTTTTTACTGTTTTTTTGGGATATCTATTTTTCTCATTAGAATTGAAAGAATGAACTTTTTATGCTGTTATTCGTCAGTCTACTGTTTCTCTTCTGTGTAATATGATTTTCTTTATAAGATAAATCCATAGTTTGTTAAACCATGAAGTAGGTGAAGTAATCCTGTATAAAAGAAGTGATAAAAAATTCGAATACCAAATTTGACCAAAAGAGTGATTCTGTCTTAGACTTTGTGCAATTAGTGAGGGAATGATAATTCCAAAAGCATAATTGGAACAACAAAAGGGTACTCTGTAGTCTATAGTTTTGATTATCTGAGTAATAGGATGCAGTGTCATCAATAACTGTTGAAACGCCCCATTTAAAAGTTTAAGTTGTTATATCTAAATTTTACTATTCAATGTGCCCCCTTAAATGTAAAGCTGGATTCATTTATTTATTTAAGACCTAACACGTGGACAATTTCAGTTAATCTGTGCTTGCTGTGATACGGCTATGCTATATATTATGTCGAATCACTTCATATAAAAGCTTAGGCTATTAGAGGAGACACGTTTATTTATTTAATTTTAATCTTTTGACAATTTCTTTCTTGGACTTTCTCAGCGAATAGAATAAGTTCTGAGTAATGTAAAGACTGATGGTGGGTTTGTTAGTCCTGTAATAACGATATTATTTGGAAGCTGTTATAAAAAAAAAGAATGAAATCCAAGTAATGTACAGACTGATGCTGATATTTGTGCCTCGTTGCATGGCATTCATTACTTCTTCGCGAAGAATTACAAAAAGCTGCTGATTTAGAAATCTAACAGACCATATAGTTTTGCTCACTAGGGCTTGATTCAATTGCTATGCTAAGTGAATTATCGATCAAACTTCCTTTGCTTGGATTTGCACTAGTGATTATTAATGACACAAGGACTGCTCTCTTTTCTTCCCTCTGAAACTGCCAGGTGAAACCTCTGAATCACTCTCATTCTTTGCCACCTCCAGGAAAAAAGGGTCGGCCATATATTTGTAGCTGCATGATTTATATGCGTCCCACCAGTGGAGCAAAATTGGTTATGAAGAAATGGATTGAAGAACTTCAGGCCGAGCCCTGGTCTAAAGCAAAGAAAGCCAACGACCAGCCTGGCTTTAATTGGGCTTTAATGAAAACTGCTGGACAGGTATATCTTATCCGCTACTGGACCTACCTCTCATTGCTGCCTATATTTTCCCCGTATAATTCAGTCATAAATATTCTTCGAACTAGTGTTTGCACCAATTTTTGTCTGTAGAAAGGCCAGTATCATCATCTTCTGTGAGGTTTTCCTCGAGGCTTATTTATCTAATCATTGAGATGGTTTTTTGTGAAGTTATTGTAAACCCCACCCATCATGCTCTCATCTTTAGCATCTTCAATATCATTTCAGGTGGACTTGTATTTGCTCCCTCAGGCAGCATTTCCCACTGGCGGATTATACTTCAGGAACAAGACATGGGTAAAAGAAACCAAGGGAATGCATGTTATTATACACAATAACTACATTGTTGGTTTTGAGAAGAAGATAAAGCGATTTCGTGATTATGGTCTTTGGTTGGTGGATGATCATGCCTCTGAGTCCCCACTTGGCACATTGTAATGGATCAGAGGACTTGTCTTGAAATCGTAAGCCAGAGGAGCTCGTAATCTTTTTCACAGGCCAAAAATGTCCTTTCCAGACAGTTATTACAACTTCTGCTTGGGTCATTTATGTACCTACACACTCATAAATCGAATGAAGGCTATGCATTCGTTGGCGGACCTCAACTAGTAGTAAGGTGAAATTTAACAGCATATAGCAAAAGCTTGTAAAGGAAAAACGGTATTTCGTGTCGATGCGTTCACAAGTAGATGAAGAATCCCGTATCGATATTTTAATGAGGGTAACAATTTTCTTTCACTTTATTTTTTATTTTTTATTTTTTATTTTTTTGTAGTAGGATCCGATTATCAGAATCGTTTGGTGTACCAGAAAAATAAACTCATTTCTTTAGATATTAGTAATGGCTGTTAAATTATTAATTGTTACATGTTCCTGAGTTTGGCCATAATTGTAATTTCTTGATAGTTGAGACATTGCATAAGCTTTTTCGGGTGATTAATTTTTCCAGTTCTGCCACATCCAGATTTCAGATTTGTTTTTAAGGGACATGTATTTATGGCTTATAAACAGTTTCTGTGGCTGGTTCTGAAGCATATGTATATGAAAATAGCTCTACTGATAACCATAATCAAGACCCTCTCTCCAATGTTAGAGATAATCTGACGTCTTGTAGGCTTGTTTGGAAAGATGACCGACTAAACGGTGTTAAAAAAATAAATAAATAAATAAATAAAATAATAATATAATCTTATTCATTTTTGTAAACCAGCTGCAATAGTCAACGCTGGGAGCTAGGCATTAGCATTTGCTCATTTCGTGTGTTTCTTGAATTTTGTATATAGACGTTTGCCCTTTTTCCTCTCTGCTTTTCAACAAGTTTGCTAGTACTTAAAAACCAGCCTTTTAATTTCTAACTACTTAGTCTGTGTTAGGCACCCTTTAACATTTTTCTACAGTATCATTTTTCATTATACATTCACATAATAAAATATTTTATCCATAAACTAATAAAGTTTATTTACTATTTAATCACACATTTTCTAAAAAATACTATTCAAAACTCTTTAACTTTCCAAATAATGGGCAACAAATAAGAGCTTTTGACATTTGCTCATTTGTTTTCTTGCATTTTGCCTAGAAGGCCTGCCCATTTCTAACGATTTTTCATCATATTTTGTTGTGTTTAAAAGTGACATTTTACCTTCTTTCTAGAAAGCACGCATGATGTTAGAAAAAGTAATTAAAATTCCACTTTATTAAGCACGATCAAATATCTTCTTTATCACGAGTAGTATCGTAAAATGCTTGGTCTATGCATTTATTGAAAGGTTTGATAGAGATGTTTAAACATATCGAATGAATTGTCACACAACCCATCTTATTTTATTGTAAATAATATTATACAATTTAATATTTGTTATCATGAAAAATTCTTGTGATATAATCGACGGAGAATAATTGCATTATTCTGAAGTACTTAAAACCTTAGGACAATGAATTTTTTGTGCAATAAAATAAGTTTTATTTCTACTAAATTCAGTACTCGGTACATGAATGAACAGTGTGAGTCAATTTATTACTGTTACTATATTAAATAATTATTTTGAATCCAATTACATGAAATTCTAAGTTGAATAAGGGGGAAAAAAAATCAATGCACCATGTCCGGTCCACTTCAATCCAACGTAAGCAAGTCTTAATCAATTGATGAAAGAAGTTAAACACTAGATTGTGACCCGTTCGATGGATAATTCAAATATGCAATATTAATGATGATTATTGAGGTCGGTCACTACCGACCTATAAATAAATCATTTCCAAAAAAGTCGTCAAATTAATTTGCAAAATTTACACTGTAAGCTAAGTAATCTAACATTATAGAAGAGAAAAGGAGAAAAAAGTTATTATTGTATCCAATCTATTTCGTATTACGAATACTACTAAAAGTAACATATGAGTATGTTTGAACAAATGAGTTTGTCGGATCGATGTCGATAGGTTTTGTAATTTGATTTTAAATAACATAAAATGAATTGCATTATGTTATAAGATCTAGATTTTAGGTGAAGTGATAACGATATCCGACCTTACTTTAGAATTTATATATAGTCTATAAACAGTTTGAAATTCAGTCTACTAAATAACCCACGTAACTAGTCACTTCATCCCGAAAGAAAATATAATTTTATTGATTCATTAATTTTTATTTTTTATGACCAGTTTGACCTCATCTTGCTATCGTCGATTCTCCTCCTCCTTCTCTCCCCCGAATCACAGTTCATGAGGATTCTTTAAAATATATATATATTTCAATTATTCATGTTGATTCTTTAAAATATTGGTGAACAATTAATTTCAATTATATATATATGTATGGTTAAATTTTATAGATATAATTAAAATATCATCTATGTATACTATTAGAAACTTACTATGTTTATTAAAAATATTTTTCATTTTTCTTTGGAAAAAAATATTAAGTACATTTTTAATTCCAAATGGCATTACAAGCCATTCAAAATATCCTTCTGGATAAGTAAAAGTTGTCCATTTAATACTTTTCGGATGCATTTTTACCTGCCAAAATCCTGACTTTAAGCTTTCTTACTGGATACCAATTGCATAAATAACAAGTTATATTATCTGCTCCTTTATATTTTTGTCAATTATGTAAACATTCTATAATTATGTTATTCATTAAATTTAGTTCTTCTTCTAATTCTGATTCTGATTCTGATTCTTCTTGTAATCTTATGTTAGAGAATTTATCTATTATTTCATAATCAGATTCTCTATTTTCTTCTAAATTTTTATCCTCTATTGATATAATACTATAAATAAATTCTTTGTCCGAGATGTATTCATCTAATTGTATTAAATCTTCATTAGTACATTCTATTAGTACTTCCTTTTTTTTTTTCTTTTTTTTTTATTGCTCTGATACCAAATGGAGGGGGGTAGGCTGTTTTTTTTAGATTCATGCATTTAAAATTAATAGTTATAGGAATAAAAGAATTAATGAGGAAAAATTTAGAATGTAAGGTTTTAGTTACCATATATGATGAAAGAATTAATAATATAGATAAAAGTACGATTGCTAGTACAGAAGTTGATATGAATAATAATAATGTAATAATTTATTGTAATCCAAATGAAAAATTTTTAATACAGTCTAAAACTTCTATCCAAGAATGGAAAATTCCTGGATTTTTTTCCTTTAATAACAACATAGAATTTAAATATTTACTTGTTCTGACTAAAATGTTCTGATAATGCATTCATACATGCAAGAAAATATTTCTGATCTTTTGGATTCTAGTTATATGAAATCCATAAATTATCTAAAATACATTTTTCTTCTCTAAACTTCTGCCTCAACCAAATGAAACTGTCTCTTTAAATAGAAAAATTCTTAGGAGCAAAAAGTTTAAACTACAAATTCTTCATCCATTAATTCTATATGAACTTGATTTTGAAATGGTTCATTTTGTTCTTCTTCAGGATTAGTTTCTTCTTCAAAATCATTCTATCTTTGTACCTGATTATAATTTAAAAATTTTAAACTAGTTCTTCCATGAATATCTTTATAAGTTAATGCTTTCTATGGTGCTATAATTATTTCTTGATTTTCTAAAAATTTATATATATCCCATTCTAAGACAATTATCCTTTATCATTTTTCTTCTTCTTAATCTTTTTCTTCCTTTTTGAAGAAGTTCCTTCCTCTCTTTTGGATTGTTTCTGAAATTCTTCAATTTTTTCCAAAATCTTTTCTAAAGAAACAGTGTCTTGATTTGGGTATTGTACTTCTTGAAAAAATAAACAATCTTGACTATCTTGGACAACCATTTTTTCCTTTCCTTTACTAGACTGAATTTCTTGGGTTTGTGAAAGATCTGGATTATTTGAAAAATGTTCTGGTGGATTATATTTAACTAAGTAATCAAATTTTCCGCTGGGTTATCCTAAAAGATCCCAAATCTCTTTACCCTTTTCTGTAGCAGATATATCAGTCTGCTGGGTCTGATTATCTAATTTAGTAGAGGAATTAATAGTCCCCTAAGTCTGTTGGGCTTTTGGTAAGTCCACAACCTTTAAAGGATTTGATAAGTTTTTACCAACTACCGTTTGAACGGGACTAGCTATGGATTTATTGGGCTCCATAGTACCTGTTGGATATTGGACTTTTAAATTCAAAATTCTCTTTTTCAAGTTGGGCTACTTTCTTTTGGAGTTGGGTTCTTTCTAATGAAAGGTTCTGGTTGGCTTCATTAATAACTTTATAATTTCTTTGCATACACTCACAGTGTTGGCAAAAAATATTCTGGTCTTTACTTGGAGAGAAGTCTAATAGAGGGTTAGAGTAATTTTTTAAAGAATGAGATAAATAAAAATTTATTCCTATATGATGTCTTGCTGCATCTAATGCTTCTTAGAAATTTGTAAAACCTTTATAAAGAGGATCTGGAAAATTTTTAATACAGTCTAACAAGTTTTTCTAAAATACTTGAATTTTGATTTTTAATATAATCTAAAGATTCTTTTATATTTCTAATTTTTTGATCTCTAACAGTAATATTTTATTTTATAATTTCTAAATAATTAATTTTTTTTAATTTTCTGATTCTAAATTTTTTGATAAATTTATGATTAAGTCTGTTAAACAATTTTGACTATCAGGAAATACATTTAATCAAGAAATTAGTAATAAACTGTTTCATAAATTACCAGGACCATTATGATTGTTCTGATGAATATTCTTTAGGTTTAACCATATTAATTTATTTACTACTCATTAAATTTACCACTTTATCTATATAAATTTTATATTTTGTTTGGGAATTATTTGAATATTTTCCTAGAAGTAAATATTTGTTATATTTCTCATTTCATCCTATGCATATAATAAAAGCATAACCTCTACTAAATTAGATAACCAGACTCAGCAGACTGATAAATCTGCTACAGAAAAGGGTAAAGAGATTTGAGATCTTTTAGGACAGGCCAGCGAAAAATTTGATTACTTAGTTAAATATAGTCCACCAGAACATTTTTCAAATAACCCAAATCTTTCACAGACTCAAGAAATTCAGTCTAGTAAAGGAAAGGAAAAAATAGTTGCCCAAGATAGTCAAGATTGTTTATTTTTTCAAAAAGCACAAGACCCAAATCAAGACACTGTTTCTTTAGAAAAGATTTTGGAAAAATGAATTTTATAAGGGAGTGCCACGGGTAACTTTATAAAAAAAAATCAGGTTCAAGTTTATATGTCATAGGTGGTGAAAAAAAAAAGGGGATTTATATATGATTCTAAGAAAAGATTTATATAAAACTAAGGAGAGTACTAAGTAGGATTAAAGTAATTAAAAACTAAAAGTTATCGGTCGCAAATTTATCATTCTGCTCAGTTTGATTATCTAATTTAGTAGAGGAATCAACAGTCCCCTGAGTCTGTTGGGCTTTTGGTAAGTCCACAACCTTTAACGGATTTGATAAGTCTTTACCAGCTACAATTTGAGCTTTGTCCTGTAGGAGATGTCTTTGCATATAAGGGTCCTGCTATTTTTCCCAAATCTTTTATAAATGGTCTAGCATAATTTAGTCCACCAGAACATTTTTTACCAGAACATTTTTCAAATAACCCAAATCTTTCACAAACCCAAGAAATTCAGTCATATGAAATCCATAAATTATCTAAAATATTCTAATAATTCTTTATTATCTAAATTCATTCCTAATTCTTTTGGATAAATTATTCTATCTAATTCTTCATCCATTAATTCTATATGAACTGAACAAATTAAAGAAGCAGTAAATCAAGCATTTGAGATAATTCTAAAAAAGAATCATGAAGAAGAAAAAGAAATTGCAGAATGTCCATATCAAAAGGAAAAAAAATGAAGCTAATCATTCTAGACTTTCAGAAGAAGATGAAGATCCACAGAACGAAGGATACAATAATTCAGACAGTGGAATGTCATTTTCATCAGTAGCATGCCATAATTTTGATACATGATAAGATTCTCAATAATGCAGAACAAGACAAATCTTGATGGAAGAAAAGAAGAAAAACCTGAAGACTTCTTTTATCACTAGATTGTAGATTTTTTGACTAAGTTTTCATTATTAGAAAAGATGTCGAAACTTTTTGAAAAGAAAGATTCCTACTATAAATATATATAGCGCTGATCTACTAAGCACCGTGCTTAGTTGGCAATTCATTAAATATGGAAATATGTATTGTATTATATTAATGAAATAAAAAAACAATCGATAAATCAAAATAAAATGGAAACATGGATAAATATGGAAACCAAAAAGTGGAAGTATAATTTCTTCTCATCTCTTCACGTTGAAAAATAAAAAAACAATCTCATTACTCCCCTTTTCACATCTTCTTTTCATCTCTTCATGTCATCCCCTTGTCTCCTTCTCTTGCCGAAATTACTCTGGAATTTGGCTTCACAAAAAAGTGCAGAATAATTTCGTGTTTGTTGCACGATAGTGGATTGCACTGGTCTTCATCTTATCTTTCAACGGTAAGTTATTAATTTGATTTTGATTTTGGGTGTGTACATCAAAAATTGGTACGACGTTAACTTTTCCCCCACATAGTAGCTGTTACCATATTGTATATAAATATCAATTAGTGTGTGAAAGAGAAAAACTTTCCCATGGATTTTTAAGAATTATTTTAAAACGTAGGGGGTGTTCTCCATCTAAAGTTTGATGGATTTTAAAACTTCATATAAATTGAAGTATCTTCAATTCAGATTTAAATATAATTCATTAAAATATAGGTGTCCCTAATCTAGATTTTTAAAAATATTTATGAATTTAGGTGTCCTCAACATAAATTTTAATAGGTAGTTTTGAAATTTAGATGTCATTAATAACTAGTTGATTTTAAAAGATTTCATTAAGTAGATAGATTTTAAAAGATTTCAAGGTAAAAATATAAGTACAAAGAATCAGTAACAATTTTAACCCAAACCTAAAAATCTCCCAACATTTCTCACCTCTTTCCATATTTGCTGCCTTCTCTCTCTCTTCCCCCCCC